GGAGCAGGCTGCCCAAGGGGATGGTGGAGTCGCCATCTCTGGAGACTTTCAAGGCCCACCTGGACATGTCCCTGGGTGATGCACTCTAGGTGACCCTGCTCTGGCAGGGGGGTTGGACTAGATGATCTTTTGAGGTACCTTCCAACCCCTAGCATTCTGTGAACAGGCAGACCAGCAGCCAAACTCCTCCCTCAGCTACCACATCACACCCCAGAGATCCAAAGTGCCAGACAACCAGAGGGAGGAACAAGCCTATGCATTCACCCACCACAGTGGACATGAAAAAGGGAGCAAGCTAGGCAAGGAGCCAGGCCATAAGTTCAGTTATGTAGTAGTGACTCAGAGACAGCTTCATGTTCTGGCCCTGTCATCCTGCAAATTCCTCTTACCATGAAGAACCAGGTAGCCCTACCAATAGGCATAATCCTCACACAACACATCCACCACATAAACAAAACTCCCAATCTTCCTACAAGGGGTCAGCTCTTATAGAGGTGGCTTCTTGCCCCACCTCCAAGTCAATGTGGAAGGTGGGGGCACCTGGTGGTGATCTCCTAATCAGTTCCCATCCAAGGCTGGCCAGACCCTGGGTGAAAACCAATCAGGAGGGTCTTTCTTGCCTGGTTGTGGGCATCAGCCATATGCTAACCCTCATTCAGGGCTGTGGATTTAACCCCAGTACTTCGATTTCATATCAGTTGCCACTGCAATTTAAACTTGAAGAAACCATGTATAATATTATGAATTTGTTTAATATATTGTTCCATTTTGCTCCTGTAGGCTTTCTTATATATAGTTCCTTCATACTTCATGATGCAGTATATACTGCAGAAATGCCAAAGAATGGGTGTTAATCCTAATATTATTCTTTTATTAATAGTTCAGAAGGTAATGTGCTATTGAAATACATTAATATTATTGCTGGTCTGAGTACCTTCAGAAACAACACTCCTCAGGTGCAGAATATACAGGGATTGAGTCTGTCACTGGTGCTGGGTCAGTCTATGATGGTTTCAGTATTAGCTTGATTTGGCTTGGAATACGTATTTTTATGGATTTGTTTTAGTAGTGAATGTGTTTTTATGTTCAGTATTTAACCGTTTTTCCCCTAGTACTTTTTTTTTTTCCATACATCAGTACCATAACCAGTTTAATAACTAAGTAAAGTTCTAATATAGACTAGTGACTCGACTAATGTCAGGATCTCTGCAATGTTGGGGACTTGTCTTAAGGGGTGATACTTGAAATAATCACAAAAGGATAGGAGGGCTTAACGTACTTAGGCATACATCCTTAGGAGTAGTGAGGTAGAGTCTTTAGCCACAGGTAAAGTGATAAATACTATTTGTGAGAGCCAACTTAATAACTTGTTTATCAAGCATATTTTGGGAGTTTGAATTCTTACTGAGAAGCTTTAGACTTAATTTCTGAAAGGTGATTCAGAATAAATGTCATCATGTGGAAGAATATCCTGGGTTTAAAGCGTAAAACTCAGTTATGCCATCTCGCTACCTCTAGTTAGAAATTAACACTTTTTCAGATTACAATGTATTGATGAACCTCATGAAAAGGAGTATGGTTAAGGTACTAGCTTTTGTTATCAGGCTATGTTTTTGATTTTGTTGTTGGAGGGGAGTGGTTACAACCAAAATTATGGCCCACATAACTGAATAACAGCTTGCTTTATTTATGTGCTATTTTGACATAGAATCATAGAATATCTCAAATTGGAAGGGTCCCATAAGGATCATCGAGTCTAACTCCCTGCTCCTCACAGGAATACCTAAAACTAAACTATATGAGTAAGAACCTCATCCAGATGCTCCTTGAACTCTGACAGGCTTGGTGCTGTGACTGCTTCCCTGGGAAGCCTGTTCCAGTGACTGACCACTCTCTCAGTGAAGAACCTTTTCCTAATGTTCAGTCTGAACTTCCCCTGATGCAGCTTCATCCCATTTCCTCATGTCCTATTACTGGTCACCAGAGAGAGGAGATCAGCACCTCCCCTTCTGCTACCCCCCTTGAGGAAGTTGTAGACTGTGATGAGGTCACCCCTCAGCCTTCTCTTCTCCAAGCTGAACAAGCCAAGTGACCTCAGTGACTCCTCTTGCCCTCAAGACCTTTCACCATCTTGGTCACCCTCCTCTGGACACACTAAAAATTTGATGCCCTTCTTATATTGAGGCACCCAAAACTGTACACAGGACTCAAGGTGGGGCCACACCAGTGCAGTATAGAGTGGGGCAGTCACATCCAGCTCGATATGCTGTACTTGATGCACCCCAGGACACAGTTGGCCCTTTTGGCTGCCAGGGCACACTGCTGACTCCTATTCAGCTTGCCATCAACCCAAACCCCCAGAGCTCTTTCTGTGGGGCTGTTCTCCAGCCTCTCACCCCCCAATTTGTAAATATACTCAGGATTACCCCATCCCAGGTGCAGAATCTGGCACTTGATCTTGTTAAATTTCATACAGTTGGTGGTTGCCCAGCTCTCTAGTCTATACAGATCTCTCCATAAGGCCTCTCTACCCTTGAGGGAGGCCACAGCTTCTCCTAGTTTAGTATCATTGGCAGACTTACTTAAGGTACAGTCAACTCCTGTGCCCAGATCATTTATAAAAACATTGAAGAGCACTGGCCCTAAAATTAAGTCCTGGGGAACCCCACTGGTGACTGGCTGCCAGTCTGATGTAACCCCATTTACTGGAACTCTTTAAGCCCGACCCATCAGTCAATTGCTCACCCAATGTATTATGGACTTGTCTAACTGTGTGCTAGTCTTTTATCAGAAGGATACTGTCAGAGACAATATCAAAAGCTTTGCTAAAATCCCAAAATTCAACAGCTACTGGCTTCCCTTGGTCAACTAGGAGGGTGACTTTGTCATAAAAGGAAATTAAGATGGTTAAACAGGACTTTCCCCTCATGAACTCATGCTGGCTATGACCAATGGCTGTGTTTTTCAATAACTCCTAGAATTCCATAATTTTACCAGGCACTGAAGTGAGACTGACAGGCCTGTAATTACCAGGGTCTTCCTTCTTGACATGTATCAATATTTCTTTGTAGACTGATACCTGTGCTGGTAAATGGTATGAAATATTCAGAGATTGATATTATTCTGTTGAAGGTAAGCATTATTTTCATTTATCCTCAATAAGACTATCTGGTTAGCTTCTGATGTAAATCAGAATGATTGAGCCTGGTAGGCCAGATCTGGTCTGCCATCTGTTGAATGGAGATTTAGCTTTTGAGGGCAAGGTGTGCAGTTCAAAAGACTAAATGTGACTGCTGCCATGCTTGTTGGAAAATAATCTATGGGCTCTCCTGTTTTGCCCCTGTCCCCTTCCACCCAACTTTGGCAGAGCTAGGATACTTTTACCCATGAATTACTGCAGCAAAGCAGCCTAAAAAAATGATGGGAATTATTTTTAATGCCCTTCTATCTTGAACTACACAGCTTTTTCCATCACAGCATTTTAGAATGTCTCTGTATACTAGAATTTCTCTATCTCTTCTTCCTTCTAATTCCTTCCCATAAAGAGTAATTTGTTAGCAAGAAGGTTATTTTGTGCTTTTGTGTGAGCTTACCTCTCTTGCTTCAATTTTCCTGTCATTTTTATGTTAAATACTGTAGCTGAATGCAGGAACAATGGCATTTTTAGTTAGCTGGGCAATGGAAGTGGGATGTGAATCTTTCATATGCTCATAAAATCTTGAACTAAAATTTACAACTATGTTCTTAACCTCCTTGAGCAATATAGTTGCATTACTTTATCTGATAAAACATTTTCATGACAGGGGGATGTTGAAGAAGATGAAGCTATTCCAGATAGTGAACAGGATATAAGACCTCGTTTTCATCGTTCACGGACAGTAGCTCAGCAACATGAAGAAGATGGTATTGAAGATGATGATGATGATGATGATGATCTTGATGATGATGATACTATTTCTGACTGGAATTTAAGTATGTTAATGCGTAAAATTTTTTAAAATATAGCATAATACAAGAATCATAGAATCAAGAACCACAGTAAAAAGAGGAGTTTGTGTGTAGGAATACTGAGGCTTTGCTTTTGAATAGAAAAAGAACTATCTGCTCATATAATTGGTGGTTGGGGCAGAGCGGGAGGGGAATCTTTCAGGTGATGTTTTGGCTAAGTGTATTGACAAAAGCTAGCCATCTGTAAACTTATTTCAAATATGGCTGATAGAGCTGCAAACGTCTACTGGATGCAATTGAACAGAAGCTTTGGATTTTGAATTTTATTTCTACAAGACAATATAAATCATGGATCACCTGTTTAACTTTATTTTAAAAAAGTCTTACCTTTTTTTTAGCTTGAGGAAGTTTAATAATGCTTTCTTTTAGTTCAGTCTTCCCACTGGTGTGTGTGTTTGATTTTTTTTTCCCTGTATTTGGACATGCTGCTACTGATAGCTATTGCTAGTAGTTCAGATATAGTACAGATGAATGTACCTTGAAGCTTATGGATCAAACAGCTTTGAGATATATTTAAATTTTTTGAATTATTATAGTTTTAGAAGAAAATAAGAACAAATATGCTTGATTTTGTAAAGTATTTTTTCATATAGTTTTAAATTCATAATGCTGTTCTTGTAGTTATTGTGTGTAGAAATTGCAGAAATATTACATATTTTCTGAAAAACATAGCTGAAATGTCAGGGGGCGTCCTGTGGTCCACAGTTTTGATTAAGATTGTGACGAAGCTAAAGCTGACTAGGAAAGAGAGAGAACAGAACAGTTAAGAAATCTGTTTTGATGTATGTCATCTGGACTTGAGAGAATTTGGATTATCTGAAATTCAGAACTGTGTGCCCTATTTCTTATCCAGTGCTCTATATTTGACTTCCAATTTGAACAGAGAGGAATCATCAGCACAGCCTGACGATTAGCAGCATTGCTTACTAATGACGCCTGGTAATTAAATATGGGAGTCCATCTTATTTTCCTCTAGTAGAAAGCTGAAACAGTCTTAGCTGAAAGGAGCAGGTGCTGGTCTTGAAGAGTCTGTGTAGTTTATTATTGCTTTGCAGTGGAGATCTGCTCTGAGTTGAGGGCTCATGTTTTGTTTTATTCAAACCTGTTGGACATCTAGGGGCAGAGCAGAAAAGGCTTTGTATTTATTATCATCTATTCTAGTAGTTGCTACCTCCCAGCTGAAAACTTATCCGTGTCCTGCTTGGGCCCACTAGCAGTTGAAGTCCAGTTTAGAATTTTTGCATTTTACATTTATTACATATACAAGACATGTAATTGGGCAAAATATATACTTTTGTTCCTGTTGGATCATTTCTGACAGATTAAGAAGGAACCGAGATCATAATAAGCAAAAAAGTGCTGTAGAAATTATGTAATATGATCATTCTTTATAAATCCATCTTATCATTATTTTTGTAGATGTGATTATCACAGCATTACCAGAGTAAGGATTTCTGAATCACATTTTGTAGTTGTTCTTTTATGAGCTTTTGTGTGCTAAAAATATGACATAAAAAACTTTCAAGCAAATTTTGGGGTGATATTCTTTCTATAAATGGTGCATCACAGAATTAGCTGTAAGATATAAAAGCTCAGAGCAGAGGTCAGTGAATTTCTTTCAGTCAAGAGACTGATGATTTTGCCTTGTTTTTGCTTTGAGGCATGATTCATGTTTGAACATTGTCTTTTTAATCAATTGCTAATATTTTTAGGCTATTTCTCCTTAGTTTCTCCAATATGTTGCATTCATGTCACAGACTTTCCCTCTTCCGTAGTGTTACACTATCCTGAAATTATGTAGTGTATATAATGTTGCAATATAATGGTGTGGTTCCTGTCAGTGAGTGTTTTAATATCCACGATATATAAGTCCTTTTAGTGTCTATAAATACGCTGCAAAATTGTCTTTCTAAGAGCTGTGGCTTTGCACCAGAGCACAGTGGATCCTTGTGTATTGGAATGAAATAGAAGCATCTTTCTTCCTAATGACCTTTCAGCTCAAAGTTAAAATGAGGATTATACTAACTACAACTGCTTGTATAATAAGCAGATTAACACTGTTAATTCCCCTCAGGGAAATGCTCTGCTGCTGCTCTAGATGTCTTGGCTAATGTATTTCGTGATGAACTTCTGCCACACATCTTGCCCCTCTTGAAGGAATTGCTCTTCCATCCCGAATGGGTAGTTAAAGAATCGGGTATCCTTGTTCTTGGAGCAATTGCTGAAGGTAAACAACAGTGCATATCGGGTTGTTGAATTTTTGATTTAGTTCTAAAGTAGCTCTGTGATTCCTTCTAGGTGAATTTACTTGTGCAAGCAAGTATATGTCCTTAGTGATTTTGGTTTTAGTGATTAATTTCTACATCTACTAGTTGGTGACTGCAGTTACCTGTTTAATTTTCCATTTTCAAATCTATGCGTGTTTCAGAGGCTAAATAACTTAGAAAATTTCTTTCATTCCTCCCTTTCTTAACTCTGCAGCATATATTTATTTGTCTCTCATGAAGTACTACTTTGATTTGATACCAGAAGAATATTTACTAAATTTGAGCCTTACATTTCATTCAGTGTTTTCAGAAATGGAGAAGACTGGTCCTGCGCCTTCAGTGCTCTGAGCTGTTTTCTCTGGATGGTTCTCTATTTTAAATATAACTTACATTTCTTTGTATTTACTCAGAGGCTTGACTTTTTGCCTGTATTTCCAGCATCTTTGTCCATTTTGCAAACTGAAGGAATACGTTTAAGTCCATGCCTGGATTATTTATCTTTTGATACAGTGCCTAGTGAGCATACTTTTTCTTTGTTGCTAGAAAACTTTTTTGTTGGTTTTGATTTCAAGTCAAGCAAAAGGTAAAAGTTAGTGCTTCTGGCAAATCTCAGTGTATTACTGCCCTTGCTGACTTGAAGTGTGTAGCTTTTATTGCTGGTCAGTATTTGTGTGATATTAGAAAAAATTAAGTTTCTTAAGGAATCCTTTTTAATGATATGGTGACTTGTTATCAAGGTCTAATCTTTCTCTACTTATTGTCTTGGTCTCTCTGAGGAGACTGGCATAAGACTTCTAAGTTTTATAAACTAATTTTATGTGAATTATCTTGCTATATTCCATTTAATAAAGCAGAATTTCTGGGGACTGGGGAAGCACTGAAGTAGAAATGTAGTTGAAATGAATGTAAGTTTGATTGGGGATTTTAATTATTGTTTATAGTGAGGTTTCTTTTTAGGACTTAACATAAATTAGGTAGACTTACCTTGTATATTGTTAAAATGCATTACTACATGATAGAGGATGAAAATATGTCCCTTCTAGGAAATAACAAAAAATTCTATTACATTTTCTATTTTTTGTACTGTAATAGCTATATTTTTCCTTCTAGGCTGTATGCAGGGTATGATTCCATATCTTCCTGAGCTGATCCCTCACCTTGTTCAGTGCCTCTCTAACAAAAAGGCTCTTGTGCGCTCCATTACATGCTGGACTCTTAGTCGCTATGCACACGGGGTAGTTAGTCAACCCCCAGACACATACTTGAAGCCATTAATGACTGAGTTGCTAAAGCGTATTCTGGATAGCAACAAAAGAGTACAAGAAGCTGCCTGCAGGTGAGCAAAGCTTAAACAAAAAGCACTATCCATAACACTGCTTTTTCATGGGAAACTATTTTAATTCCTTCATGAATTCATTACTCCATTTCTAGCTCTTAATGTATTTTATTTTTTTCCTTTTAAATTGGAGTAGGTTCAGCTTCTTCTGAAGTAGTCAAAAATTATTTTGAGTTGTACTAAAATGAAAACATATATTTGTATTTCTCTTGGCCAGTTTGTTTTCAGAATATATGAATCACCAAACTAAACAATCTGTTGAAGTAAAAGACATTATCTTTATGTGACACATGGGGTTTTTTTCAATATTTGAAGTTTCATTGACCAGAAATCTTTTATATGCCTATGAACAAGGTCAATACTGATGACAAAGGAAAACTATTGTGTCGTATTACTGATGTTGTTTATATTTATCTCAGAATTACCAATACATTTGGGTTACGGTTATTTCAAGGGATATTCCTTTTCTCTTGAAAGGAGATCCTTGGAGGTAAAATTCCTTTCTCCCAAATGTCTGCTGATATTCTAAACAAACAAAAATTATTGGACATACCATTAATAGAATGGGTACATTTCTTATGCAGGAAGCTCAGCAAATAAAGCTTTTACACATCAGTTTGTGCGGGGCAGGAGTCTACACAACAGACTGCCAAGAAAGTTTCTTCATACAGCAGAATTAGATATGTAACGTATGCATAACAGGTTTTACAGAATATTTTTAAATTTTGCTCAGCACAATGTAAGAGCTGAATCTTTGTGTTCAATAAAAATAGATTGAGTTTGTCTCTGTAATACTATTTTCAAAACATACCTTGGATGAATTTGAGGACTAAATATAGTTCTATGTTTAAACAGAAATGGGTAGTGTTGGGCACTTTGGGGTGGTCTCATTTTGTTTTTTTCCAAGATACTGACTGGCCTGTTTGGGGTGTTTTTTTTTGTCATTCAGTGCCTTTGCTACTCTAGAAGAGGAGGCTTGTACAGAGCTTGTTCCTTATCTTGCATATATACTTGACACTTTGGTCTTCGCATTTAGTAAATACCAACATAAAAACCTGCTCATTCTTTATGATGCTATAGGAACTCTAGCAGATTCTGTAGGACATCATCTAAATAAACCAGTGAGTATACCTTATGTTCTGTAGAAGCGCTTGTCATATATTGAAAAACTGGTTTGGTGGCTTTTGTAGTGTGCTTTACATGTTATAAAACAGAAATGCTGACTTTTCTGTGTGGGCTTCAATAATAAATATGTACATGTAAAATACATAGACTACATGTAATTTTCTCACTGCACAAATATTCCCCATTTTGAATTGTGTGTGATTGGCTTGTAAAATGTGCTTCTCATTATCGTGACTTTTTTTTCCTCATTCTCAGAATTTTTCAGCTCAGAGGAGATACATATATCAATATAGATATGAAATGGAACTTTAAAGAAATTGGTGGAATGCATGCGCTAATTTCAAATGACTAATTTTTTTAAAATTTTTTTTCTTTGTAACCTCTTTCAGTATAGCTAAGCTGCTCTGTGTCTTTCCAATGTATTGAAGCACATCATCATTAGAAATTGCTTTATCAGCGAGTGGGACAGACGTGCATTTTATATATAAAAACACAAAATCCTTTGGACAAAGCACAGATAACACACAGGCAAATATAGTGGTTTTTTTTTTATTGTACATATGTTTATTAATAGGAGGATATGCATGCATGTCACGTGCATCTTAAGATGGCTATTGAAATTTTCTTTATTTCTCTATAGTGCTTCACATGACATAGACACACTAGAATAAAACTATTTGGGTTGTTGCCATGGCATTTTACTTGCTGTCCAAGACTCCACACCATCAAAGGACATCTTTTCCAATCTTTCTTTGGCTCTGAGCAGCTTGACATTTGACAGCACCAGGAGGAAGCTAAATGGGAGTTCCTGGTGATGATGGTGGGACTTTCTTCAGTCACTTAGAATATTGTATCTTTGGACATAGCATTAGCTGGCAGCATCTGTTGGCTCTTGGGATACTTTCTGAGAGCAACAGTACTACAGGGATGCCTTGCTTAATATCCTTGTGACTGTGACAGCAGTGACAAGGAAGATACAATATCTTTATAAAGAATTGGTGAGTATGCCCTTCTGGAGGGATAGAAAATTATTTTCTTCAATTGCTTGAGGAAGAGGTTTCAGGAACTTGGGGTAATAGGGTTGTAGCATCAGGGCAATGGGAGATGTTTGCCAAAAGCAGGTGGCAGATGCACAGCCAGATTGCATTGATGGAAAAAAACATTTTCTGTAGGCCCTAAGGTAATCCTATAGATTTGTAACCACCCAGGCAGATATTAAAATTTGTTAGACTGAAGCCAAACCTGGATGATAAGATTCATTCTGCAAAGTTATGTGCCTCAGCAAAAAAATATTAAGAAATAAATTGTAAATTCTAATATTAAACTACTTCTACATATTGCAACAATTATTTGTTTACAGTATATCAGTTTTCTTTTTTCTGAAAATGTAGACTATATCAATTCGTAATATATCAATTTTCTAGCTTTGAAATTAACTAGTATGCAATTAAGTGTTTCAATATGTATCTGATACACTTTCATCCTAAACAGGAATATATTCAGATGCTAATGCCTCCATTAATCCAGAAGTGGAACATGTTGAAGGATGAAGATAAAGATCTCTTCCCTTTATTAGAGGTAAATGTTAAAATTTGAATATGTTTTATCAACTTCTTTTAGGAATTACCCCTTTTACTAAAGATGCTCCTACTAGGTAGTGTGACTATAAAATGTGACAGTGTTGGTTATCTCCTATTATGGAGAAAGTATTATGACTCTAGTGAGAAAATTTTGTGATGGAGGAAATGTCATTAGGTCTAGCAGAAATCTTTTATTTGGTTTTGGTTTTGTTTTTTCCTGCCAATCTTGAGCTTTCTTTGGGATTCTTTTTCTTTTAAAAATTGTTCAAACCCCTTGTTCTTGTCTTTTCTCTCTCCTTGCTCACCCTTCATCCCTTCATTAAAACTGTTATCAGACAGGCTGAAGGTATGAACAAGACCATGTAGTCTATTCTCTGTACTTTCCAAGTAGGAAAAAGAGACAGGAAAACACTTCAGGAAATTAGTTCCATAATTCTTGGGTAACGTTAGCGCTTGTATATGGTCAGGATACTGAAATTTAGTGTAAGTTCTAGCTGAATTATAGTAACTGTCTTCATATGAACTTTCTTGACCACCTGTAAGAAGATGCTGCCTCTGAGAAATTTTCTCAACTGACATGTAGGAGAGTGTAACAATTAGCTGCTTGGCTCAGCTAATTGGTACTGCCTTTCTAGGTTGTTTTTATTTAATCAGTTACTTGTGGGTATACTTAAAATGCTTTTTATTTACTTCTCTCAAGTAAAAGGCACTTTGAGGAGGTGAGGAGTTAGTGTACATCTCTCTCTCGCCTTTTTTTTTTTGCCCTTTTTTTTTTTTTTTTTTATTCCAGTGCCTGTCGTCAGTTGCTACTGCCTTGCAATCTGGCTTTCTTCCATACTGTGAACCTGTGTACCAGCGTTGTGTAAATCTGGTGCAGAAGACTCTTGCACAAGCCATGGTATTTTTCTATTGCTATTCCAATGTTTTCAGAATATCTCCTTAAATCAATGTATTAACTATGTAAAGTTATGGATTTGCAAGGAGATTTGTAGTATAATTTGAATATTTAAATGAAGCTGCAGATCTGAAATGAATTTTTTGTTTGTTTTTTTTTTACTTTTATGCATACTCCTGAGAAAATCTAATACTCATTTTGAAAATGCATACTTATTTGTTGCAGTTGCACAATGCTCAGCCAGACCAATATGAGGCTCCAGATAAAGATTTCATGATTGTGGCTCTTGATTTACTCAGTGGTTTAGCTGAAGGACTTGGAGGCAACATTGAACAGCTAGTGGCTCGCAGTAATATCCTAACACTAATGTACCAATGCATGCAGGTGAGATGAGTAACCTATTTAATCCAAGTGTTTTCTTTTTTAAGAGAATCAAAAACATTTCTAGAATTGTCAGTTTTCTTTCTTCCTCTCTTTAGGATAAAATGCCTGAGGTACGGCAGAGTTCTTTTGCACTGTTAGGTGATCTGACAAAGGCCTGTTTTCAGCATGTTAAGCCTTGCATCGGTACGTTTCTTTTACATATTAAATAATTAACATTTTATAAACGGATAAGAGGCTGATTTAGCCATTGTTGACTTCCCTTCTCTGTGGCTTGGCTTGTCATGGTGTTTTAAGTTTTCATTTTCCTTTATCAGCAAGGGTCTGTAGTGTTTTCTCCTTTGGACTGTGTGTTTAAGACGTTCTTTGTAGATAGTGCAAAAGTTCATTTTGCTGCATGGTTTTTATAATGTAACATGCTTCCTTTTTTCTGGAATACAGTAAAACAGATGTACTTAGACTTCAATTAGAACAGTTGCTTTCTTTGATAAATTCTTGAATCTATAGCTTTTTTTGCTCTACTGTAATCTATCGTTATGTATAATTTTTATATAATGAAATAAGAAAACTTATCTAGAGAGCAGTTTGGGGTTTTTGTTTTGTTTTTAATTTCAGTAGGGAAGTAGCATCACTTATACACTTCCACAATATTCACTATCGCTTCCCTCGGATACTCTTGAGATACACTTAACTTGACAAATGAATACTTGGATAGACTTGGGATTTAAAATGTATTTGGCAGATGTTATAATGTATCTTTATGACTAATCTTTTATTAAAATTTAATCAGGGTTGTGATTTGCCTTCTAGACTTCTTTGTTGGCTGGTTTGGTTTTTTTTTGGGGGGAGTGTTTGTGGTTTGTTGTTGGGGGAGGTTGTTTGGGGTTTTTGTGGGGCTTTTTGTTTGTTTTGGGTAGTTGGTTTTTTAGCACAGCTGAATACATAGCTATCGGAGTGTGTTTTTTCTTCCCCCACCCCCAGGAAGGGGAGAAAAAAGTTTTCAAGAGTTACATAAAGGTAAAGCCTATTAGAAATATTTTTCAGTCATAGTTTGAAAAGATTTGCATTGATCTGCTTAGGTTGTAAAATCCAAGTTAATCTGATATATAGCAGAAAAACAGCTCTTGTTAATTCAGGTGTAATGCTTTACAAGAAGTTTACAAGAATGCTTACATGATTTTTTAAAAAAATGTTTTGTTTTTTTTACCCTGTGATCTTACAGTAATGGGACAAAGTGGTTGTATTGTGTGATGAGATTTTAAACTGTTGTTCTTTCTAGCTGACTTCATGCCCGTTTTGGGAACCAATCTAAACCCTGAATTCATTTCTGTGTGTAATAATGCCACCTGGGCAATTGGAGAAATCTCCATCCAGATGGGTAAGATTTTTTTATTTTCTTTGAATCTTTGCACATTTAGAATGGTTTGTCTGTGTTGTTTTTTGTTATTATTTATTTTTAGTGATACTTTTGTGTTACAATTTAAATTAAATTTTATATTTTTGCCCTTCACAGTAAGCTCAATGTACCAGATCTAAAAAGATTATGTATATTAATGGTCATTTTCTTCTGAATGTTTCTTTTTGGCTGTTTCAGGTATAGAGATGCAGCCTTATATTCCAATGGTGTTGCACCAGCTTGTAGAAATAATTAACAGACCCAACACACCAAAGACATTGTTAGAGAACACAGGTACCCAAAAACTGAACCATTCATGGTGAAGGGAGTTAGATATATTTCTTAATAGTTATTTTTATAATTGCCTATATTTTATTGCTATGTATTTGGCTTTTATAAGCAAAACCAACTATTTTGCAGAAGCTCTTACAAGTCTCAGTCTTGCAGCATAACATTATCATATGTCAAGATTATTAAAGTTATTGCTTTCTCAACTTTGTAACATTTTATATTTATTTATAATCTATTAAAATATTCTTCCAATTTTATTTATATATACAATATGACAAATGTATGCAGTAACACTTAAAGACTTAGTGGCTTTACACTGATTTTAATATATGCATGTCATTACAAATATCTACTGTATATATATGTCTAGTGTTTGAAAAAAATGTAAGCGGCATATATAAAACAAACAATGAACTCTCTAATTTTACAAAAAATGCACTTTTTTAAAAAAACAATATTAATTTGTAGCATTATGCACCAAAATCTAGATCTATGATGACAGTTTTACCACAACATAACTGAAATTACATATAACTTCTATTACCTGGTCACTTAGACTTTTCAGAAATTTGTTATTAACAGTGGCATGCATGTTTTTATGTTCTGGCCAGCAGCTTTGCCTTCCAAATTGGGAGCAGTCCCCAAATGCCTTATTGAATTGGAATTTCTGAGGCTTGTTTCCTTTGCATTTATAGAGGACATGTTCTGGTATGAAGAGCACCTTCCATACTTCAGCAAAACTTTATTAATAATTTAACAGGTTTCTGATTTACTATTTTACTAACTGAGAATCTTTTGACTTTTTTCTGTTTGAAAACTTTCTTGTAAGAAAAATGATACTTTCGTCATTATACTTGACATAATTGAAAATTATGCAAATTCAGTGCTATAGTTAGTTTCTTAACTAAATATTGAGATAAATTGGAGAGATTTCTTTCAATGCATATTTTTCCTCCAGTATTCTCTACATCCCACCCCCTCATTTAGTATGGAAGGTGAACTTGAAGGAAAAATTGCCTAGTTGTCTTTTGCTTTTTGAAAAGATAATTTTGGAGCAAATAGTATAGCAATATAAATTTGCTTTCCCCCTGCCCCAACCTTCATCTGCACTGATGAATATGTAATATCTGTAACTGAGAAGCATCCAATACTTAAAAGTTTTCTTCCATCCCTGCTAGAGAATTTTTTGAAGCATCCAAACACTATTACTATTTTTTTTAAATAGTATCTTAATAATTACTTTAAATGTGGATGCATAACTGTGATTAAATGTTGAATGTGGCGTACTTATCATAAGTTTGTTGTGGGATATTGTGCTGCATGCCATTGGTACATGCAAGAGTATTACTGTTTTCTGATTTAGGTTATGCAATGAGCTATGAAAACACTTCTCCTATGGAAACATATAGGACCACCTTAAGTAAAAGCAGTTGCATAGTAAATTATGAGTATCTGCCAAAAAGTTAAGCTTTGACAGAAATTACTATTCATTTTACAGACTGTAGCTGTGAGAACTTACAGATAAACCTTAAAGGTGTATTTTCATTTGAAGATAGCACTTCAAATGCAGTTTTATAAGTTAGATGTGTTGAAAATTTGAGACACTGCATATTGAAATTGAGTAATGTCTAGGCAAAATAGTACATTATCAGTGAGCCGCAGCTTTCACAGAATGAATATTTTTCAAACTGCTAGTATATCCTACACTAAACTTTTATTGGAGAAAGTATCATCTGCTTTATTGCATGTTTCATGAAACTGTTCACAAATGCCTGTTATTTAGTGTTGCATAGTGTGTCTCTGGAACATAGGTTTCCTTTCTCTGCTTCATATAAATCTGCTGGATTTTAGTATTATTCATGTATTTTGCTTCAAGTAATCCTGATATGTTATTCCCCACCTTCTCCTTTTTCTAAAGATTAATCTTTAGTGAGTTGAGCAAATAGCATTAAAATGCATTTGCATGATGGTATTTTCTTCAGTCAGAACAAAGGACTACACTACTTAATCATCCAAAGAAGCAGTTTTGCTTTTCACGTGTCCTTATGCTTTTGTATCAGAAATCAGATTCTTATACAACTTTTATGAGGAAGCCTTCTCTGAACAGGAGTAATATTGAGATTAAATAATTAATTTTCTGTGGTCTGTTGCTGTCAGTTAGCTACCACTTTAAATTTTCTACAAGATTATGAAGAAAAAAAATATTTGGTGCTCTTGGAGAAGTGTTTAATCTATTTAGTGTTTATTAGCTAGACCACAATATGTTAAATGTAAAAGTATTTATAAATGTATTATTACTGATAGTAGGCCAATTAAAATTTTGAAAAAAGAAAGAAAAAAGAAAACTTGTAGGTCTACTTGATACTAAAACTAAAAATGGTTAAATCCTTTCTGCCAAGAGTATCCATAATAGTAGTTTTTATTGAAAACTTTGAAATGTATGATAGGTAAATTTACTGTAAGAGAAGATTCTAAAGAGGGCAGTATGACTGCTTACATCACAAAGCCTTTGGATTTTAAATTGTGTTTTTTGGTGATCTCATTTTATTTTGTCTTTCTTTTACTCTGGAGAGTATACCATATATGTTGCTGCCTCTTATTTAGGGGGTGGTAATAAACTGCACTAGTGAAATCTTATGTTTACTATCATACATAGATTCTGTTGGCTTCTGTTTCTGAGTTATTTGTTGTTTTTTTCTTTATTTTTTCTCCTCCCCCCTCATTTTCTCATGTCTTGGTTGGCGTTTGGTGGTGTATAACCATGATTGCATTACCTTAGCAATAACAATTGGTCGTCTTGGTTACGTTTGTCCTCAAGAGGTGGCCCCCATGCTACAGCAGTTTATAAGACCCTGGTGTGTATTATTCAAATTTTTTTGTTTTAATTTTTCTTCACTTTCTTTCTCTTTTCTTTCTCTTTTCTTTCTCTTCTCTTTCTCACTTTTAGATATATTTTCATTTGGTTACAAAATCTCAATCCTTAATCATTGCCAACCATGTGACTAATCTTGTCCTATCAGGTTTGTGAGTTTTTAGTAGCACTGTTATGTGTTCATGTTATAGCTAACAACTAATTTATGCACAGGATAAGATTGTCACATGCTTGCATGTTAAAGCTTGACTGAAAGAGCATTTTGAAATCCACCAGAATGATAATACAATGCATGCAAATACTGTAAAATTTAAACTGCATTACTTAAAATTCAGTCTGAGGCTTGAATTGCTGTAAGGAATTTTTCTAGACCTGGTATGTATAAAATAGATTGCTTGCTGTTGTAAAAGTTAAATAACTGTTCTGTAAGTGGTATCTGACATAATTCATACTGCAGTAATATTATATGTTCCACTTCTAATAATGATAGTTTCTATAAAGATTTCATATACATGTTTCTTTTGTATTTAATGGAATACAGGTCACACTTTCTAACTGTATACAGTGCAACAGGAAAGCAAGATTCTGGAGATGATGCCTAATGGGAATATACTAGTAAAGACTGTGTGCCACAAGTATCTTTTTAAGTGTTCAAAATAGTGTTTCAGATAACCTTATCAGTGTGACTTATTCCATCAAATACTGTCATTTAGTTCTGATTTTACTGACTAAAACTGTAATAAAATGAGCTAAGTTTTGTTCTCTGACTTACTAGGTGCACCTCTTTGAGAAACATAAGAGACAATGAGGAAAAGGATTCAGCATTCCGTGGGATATGTACCATGATCTCAGTCAACCCCAATGGAGTAGTCCAAGTAAGATACATAAATAGATCTTTTTTTCTTTACTCATGAAATTTAGTGAAAACTGTATATGGAGTATGAAAAAGTTTAGCATCGTGTTGATTCCCTGTAGTACATGCTGTAGCTGCTATTTTGACATCAAGGAGGCCAAAATGTTCATATTGGAAATTATACATATCATGATACTTCAGGATTTCTGCTTCAGTATTTATCACTTAAGGAAATGAAAAGACAGTATTGCCATCTACCTCAGCATCAGCAAGGCTTTTGACACTGTCTCCCATAGCATCCTTCTAGGGAAGCTCAGGAAGTGTGGGTTAAATGAGTGGACAGTGAGGTGGGTTGAGAACTACTGGCTAAACAATAGAGCTCAGAGGGTTGTGATCAGTGGTGCAGAGTTTAGTTGGAGGCCTGTAGCTTACAGTGTTCCCCAGGGGTCAAGACTGGGTCCAGTCTCATTCAACATAGCAATGACCTGGATGAAGGGACAGAGTGGACCCTCAGCAAGTGTGCTGATGATACAAAACTGGGAGGAGTGGCTGACACACCAGAAGGCTGCACTGCCATTTAGTGAGACCTGGACAGGCTGGAGAGCTGGGCACAGGAGAACCTCATGAAGTTCAACAAGGGTAAGTATAGGGTCCTGCCCTGGGGAGGAATAACCCCCTGCACCAGTACAGGTTGGGGGTTCTTCTGCTGACCACTTGCCCAATACAGAATGATATTACCATTAATGGGCAGACCAGCAGCCAAACCCTTCCCTCCACTCCCACATAATACACCAGAAACCCAAAGTGCCAGATAACTGGAGGGAGGAACAAGTCAATGCACTCACTCACAACATATTGTATAAAGAAGGGATCAAGCTGACTCAGGAACCATGTAATGAGAGATGGAATCAGCCAGACAATGAGTCCAATTATGTAGTAGTTTCTCAGAGACAGAATCTTGCTCCACCATCCTGGGAACTCCACTTGCCATGAAGAGTCAGGAAGCCCTTTCAATAACCAAATTCCCCCCCACAGCACACCCATTGTGTAAACAGTCATCCTAACTCCACTGCAAGCAGTCAGCTCTTATAGAGATATCTTCTTGCCCCACCTCCAAGTTAATGTGGAAGGCAGAGGCACCTGGTGGAGATCTCCTAATCAGTTCCCACCCAAGGCTGGCCAGACCCTGGGTGAAAAGCAATCAGGAGGCTCTTTCTTGCCTGGTTGTGGACATCATCCATATGCCAACCCTCATTCAGGGCTGGGGGTTTAAACCTCAGCACTTCAGGGGTTGACCTGCTGGAAAGTAGCTCTGCAGAGAAGGACCTTGGAGTCCTAGTGGACAAGAAGTTGCCCGTGAGCCAGCAATGTGCCCTTGTGGCTAAGAAAGCCAATGGTCTCCTGGGGTGCATTAAGAAGAGTCTGGCGTGCAGGTCAAAGGAGGTTCTCCTCCCTTTTCTACTCTGCCCTGGTGAGGCCAGATCTGCAGTACTATGTTCAGCTCTGGGCTCCCCAATTGGAGAGTGCAACAGAGGGCTACAAAGATGATGACTGCAGCATCTATGTTATGAGGAAAGGTTGAGAGACCTGAGGCTGTGCTGAGACCTAGAGAAGACTGATAGGGGATCTGATCAATAGCTAAAGGGCAGGGGGCAAGAGGATGGGGCTAGACTGTTTCCAGTGGTGCCCAGTGACAGGAGAAGGGGCAATGGACACAAACTGGAACACAGGAAGTTCCACTTAAACTTAAGGAAAAACTTCTTTCTTGTGAGGATGTCAGAGCTTCTACCAGGCTGCCCAGAGAGGCTGTAGAATACCATTCTCTGGAGAGATTCCAAACCTGCCTGTATGCGATCCTGGGTAACCTGCTCACTTGTTGGAGCAGGGGAATTGGATGAGATGATCTCCAGATGTCCCTTCCAACCCCCACCATGCTGGGCTTCTGTTAAATACATTTTTACTTTGATACTTATGTTTGATACTTATGTTTTTTCTGTTGAGGTTATGTATGAAAATACAAGGTAAAAGTTGACATACTAAGATCTATTTTTCAGATTTAATCCAGACTTTAAAAAAACAAACAAACAAACAAAAAAAACAGAACAAAACCAATAACTACCCCATCATTCTTAAAACTTGGGTAGGGTAGATTCTGTTTCAACTTTGGATATGTTGCTTAAATAGTCAATATGGCAAGGAAGATGCATCTCTTTAAAATAAGTGGTGCATCTCAAGAATAGAATGTGACTTGCTCTTTAGTCTACACAGCTACAAAGTACCAATGTAATATTTTCACAGAGGAAAATGAAGGTGAATTTTCCTGTCCTCTGTCTGGAATCCTTCTTCTTGAAACACAAAAATTAAGCCTCTGTCTTGTTTTGAATTTTTCAGTTCATTTCACTTATCCCTTATTTTGTACTTAGCATTACCCCCTTCTGCTGTCCATTTGTTCTTTCACACAGGTTAGAGGGAGGGAGTAATTAAGGACTCTTCATTATCCCAGCTCTCCTCCTATGTAGCTGTTATCCTCAGTTTCTATCCAAAAATGTGCATTATCAACTTACTGATGTTTTAATGGTGTAGTAGGAAGTAATGTATGACAGCAGACGTTGGGATGTTGGTGTGGCTTTAGTTTTGAACCTGTATGGCAAACATTCTGTGCATCTCAGAAACAACTTCTGGCTCTGCTTAAGGAATAGTAACTCACTCTCATGTATTTCCAGTCGGGAAAAAAAGCTGTTGTGAGTGTGGTCTTGAGTTTGTTAATCATTATTAAGATGATCGGTTCTCAAACTCAGTATGTATACTGAAAGATTTGGTTAGACAAGTGTGGTGTGAAAGGGGAGTAGGTGTTTGTTGGCTTGTTTTTTTTTTTAACTGTGGTTTTATTTAATCAAAAACCTGATTAAACAAAGGTATTACTACACTCAGCTATTTCTGTTTCCATGCACCTAAGCATACAATAACTTACCATTATTGTCTGAATTAACTAGAAAATAAAAACATAAAACCAAAAGCAGTTGTGAATTATGATCAAATATACTACACAGTTCATAGAACAAATATCAAACATTGTTTTCAGGCCTATAAATTGAGATTTCTAACCTATGTGATTGTTTAATATTATAGGACTTTATTTTTTTTTGTGATGCTGTTGCATCGTGGATTAGCCCAAAAGATGATCTCCGAGACATGTTCTGTAAGGTAATGTTTCTAGTATGACAGTATATCTGAAATGTGTTTCTTTTGGGTCCTCTGTTTTCTTCTTACTTTCTATTTCCACTATTAGCACTAGTATTTGTGGTCATAAAGGCTTTCTTGCAGTCATAAACTTTCAGACAAAACATCATAAAAATCTGAAGGTTTTTTATCTATATTTTCTTACATGCTTTCAGGTTATTCCAAAATTCTTTTTGACAGTGTTGAAAAGCTCACCTGGGATCTTATTTGCAAGAATGATCATCATCAAAGAGCTTTTCATAATGTCCAGCCTACTCTAATGTTTGACTGCATTTGGAAGTACAAGGTTTTTCATACCACATATAAGACTTTGGGGGGGGGCTTTTTCTTTTTTTTTTTCTTTTCCTCTTTTTTTTAATCTTTTCTCCTTTTACTCTTTTCCTCTTTTTTCTTTTTCACTTTTTTTCTTTTTTTTTATTCTTTTTTTTATTTTTTACTCTTTTTTCTTTTTCCTTTTTTCTTTCTCCTTTCTCTTTTTCTTTCTCTTCCTTTTCCTTTCCTTATCTGTGTGGTTCAAGACTCTCTCCCTTCCCCCCCCAAAGATGCTTGCTTTTTTTTTGGAGAAGTATCTAAAAATTTGCAAATGAAAAATCTTCCAGTGATATCCTGATTTGTTTGTCTTGCTTCAGTTGAAAATAAGGTTTTTGGGATTGCTTAACCCTCTTCAGAATCCATCTTGGTTAAGCAAGTCTTCAAGAAACTAATGTACAGTGATAGCCAAGAATGCTTCCCTAAACAAAGTGTCAATAGAACTTAAGCAAAAGGGCTGTTTGCCATGTGTAAAATAAACAAGAAAAAAACCCAAATCACCCAGAAAGTAATATATTGTGTTTGGCACTAGTGTCTTAGGTTAAAAACCAGAACAAAATAAACTTATTTCAATTTCATGAACAGATGCTGTTACTGTTCAGTACTGTGGCTCACCTCATATGTTGTAAAGTGAAATATCTGGGCTTAGGAAGGGTATATGTCAAAGGTTAACAGTCCTCTTAAAACTAAAATGGAGTATATTTCTAAGTACATACTTGGATCATGGATCAGTCAGTATTGACACTTTCTCTTCAAGTAATGCTAAGTGTGCACATCAGAATGGAAGCTAGAACTTTTGAATCCCATCTTGAGGAGTAAAGACAAAAATCTCACTGTCCTAGTTAGGAGAGCAGTTATCTGAGAGGCTTTGAAAGAACATCAGGGTCAGGAAATGAATGTATTCTAGCATCAGCAGAAGGAAACAGGAAATACAAGCTTAAAAGAAAGTCTAGGATGCTGTCTGTGATGGTTGTCCAAAGCAGTTTCAGTACGTTTCTGTCCCGGTCCTTCAACATTCAATACTTGCTTCAATAAGCTACACTTCTATTTTTCAGATTCTTTCCAGGATATCCATGTGGAATCTAATGTTATTCAAATTAGACACAGTGTTTCTTGGTCACTTGGCATAAGGACATCCTTGCTTTTTAAAGTGTATTCTTTTGTGCTTTTTGCCATGCAAGCAAGGAGACAAACTTTCTTCAAGTGATGGAATGTAAAGTTTTTAGATTACTTCCTCATTGAAGTGAGTTTTTATGCTAGCTGAATACATGATTACTGTCCTCCAGTTTTTCCAACAATAATTATTCCTTTTAGGAACAATGGAAAAAAACTTTTTGTAGTCCCATAAGGTCTTTCTCTTGCTAATGGATTGTCCAGTGTTTGGTTTTTGGGGTGAGTTACTTGGTTTGTTTGTTGGGTTTGGAGCACTAGAGCTGAGAGAGAAAATATCCCTTCTAAGAGCATGGGTAGATGAGTTGCCAGTGTTGACATCTGACACATACCCTAAGAATTGTATCATGTTTTATAAAACCAAGATATTCAAAGACTGTAGCTGAAGCTCGCTTCCTAAAACTGTACTGGAAGATGATTTTTAAAAGGTGTTCTTTTTGTTGTACTTGAACATTCTTAGATTTTTTCAGTATTTTTTTGACAGCTGGCTAATAAGACTCTGGGTTAGGAAAGAGAGGTGAATCTGCCTGTAGAAGGTCTCATTGAGGGAGAAAAGCAGTAAATTAACTGGTGACACTGTAATGTTATTATTGCTATATGCTGTTTAAGAGCAACTCTGCTCTAAAGAGAAAGTTGTGTTGAGTATGAACTCAGTACCATGAGCTTTAACTTGGACATTGCCTTTTTTGTGAGGATGTTTTCATGACAGACTGTTTCACAGTTCATATCCTTGAGTTTAAAAAAGAACAAAACAGAACTTTAGAGACTCTCTGCATTGTTTTCTATTAGGAGGAACCATTTAATCTGTTTTTGTTCTTTTGTATGTTTGCCTTTTAACGTGCTGTTTTCAAGCTAAAATACTAAGACCTTTTTGCCAGTATCATTCAATTTTCGTAGTTTTCAGTTATTTTATTATATTGGAGGGTCCAGATGGAAAACTGTAGATTCCTCCCTCTTCCCCTCTTAGGCTGCCTTTTGACTGCTTTGGATCCTTGTTCTTTCAAAACACAAAAGATTTTAATAGCTTCCTTTTTAGCAGCAGTTGTGTAAAGGTTCTATGGAAAAACACAACTCTCACAGGATGCTTTTGTATTTGCTAGAAATTGACAGGCATTCATTCTGTCAAATGCTGGTGGTGGTTCTGGCTCAGCTTTCCTCCCAGAACATATTACATTATTTTTAAAAAAAAAAAAACAAAACCATGAATACAGTAAACTTAACATATAAACTGTGCCAATTGACAAAATGTTTAGCATTCTGAAATGCCCTAACTCCAGGTTGTATGTCACAGTCATTATAAATGCATATACACATATGTATATTTATATAGAATATAATATATAATTTTATA